TTTTTTTTGTTTTAGAATTTTGAAGTTGACCAATTGTTACTATAAGCAATTAATGATTATAGATGATCTGCACCGTATGATTCGAGGAAATTTATAAATTAAAATAATATATGCATGGATCTGCTTTTTTAAATAAATTATATAAAAATGATGTAGTATGGATGAATGAATTAGTTAATCAGAATCTAGTGTTAGTTATTAATAGATTTAGCAAAGATAAGGAATCAGTTTATGATTAGATAGCAATAGTTTTTTTTCTCTTGCATTATTTGTTTATTATTATTATTATGCTTAAATTGAATTGATCGGAAGTTGATAGAAAATAAAAAGATATATTTAGTGGAAATTGAAATTGTTTGAAAATCCAAATAATAAATAATAATCAATTACACAAACAAAGCAGATAATCATAAACTGAGGATTAAAAAAACAGTTTAATTTATTCTTTAGTTTATTTTGGTTGGTGCAACAAGTAAATCTTATCAAAACAGAAAAGTCTGGATCATTAAGATCAAGATCCTATATAATAATAAGAATACTTTTTTTTTAACTGAAAAAAAAAAACCCATTTAATTTTCTAAATTTTCTCAAATAAACTTTACAACGAAAAAAAATTAAAATTAAAAAATAATGGTTAAAGTAGCTGTACTTGGTGCTTCTGGTGGTATTGGACAACCTCTCTCTTTGCTTCTTAAACTTAACGAAGCTGTAACAGAACTTGCACTTTATGATATTGTAAATACTCCCGGTGTGGCTGCTGACTTGAGTCATATTAACACACCAGCAAAAGTTCAAGGATACTTGCCAAATGATGATGGACTAAAAAATGCATTGACCAATGTACACACTATAGTTATTCCTGCTGGTGTTCCTAGAAAACCTGGAATGACAAGAGATGATTTATTTAAGGTATTATTAATTATATTAATTATATTATGGAGGATATTCAATGTATAATGAATATTTTTTTTTGATTCATCACAAAATAATATCAATTCAGATTAATGCAGGGATAGTTCAAAAATTAGCAACAGATATTGCTAAATATGCTCCAAAAGCTTTCATTCTTGTCATTTCCAACCCAGTAAATTCCACGGTTCCAATTGTCGCAGAAGTGTTAAAGAAACATAATGTGTTTGATCCAAAAAGACTTTTTGGAGTAACCACACTTGATATAGTCCGTGCTTCCACTTTCGTCAGTTCTATTTCAGATACTGACCCTCGTGAAACTCGTATTCCTGTGGTTGGTGGTCATAGTGGTGTCACAATTATTCCACTTTTATCTCAAGTCTCTCCATCTCACAAACTCACTCAAGAACAAATTGCCTCATTAACAAATCGTATTCAATTTGGTAATATAATGGGGAGGGATTTTTGATTGCTCCAAGTTAATTAGATGTTATTATTAATGTGAAAATGATTATTGCTATTATTAGGCGGTGATGAAGTTGTTAAAGCAAAAGATGGTACAGGATCTGCCACACTTTCTATGGCTCATGCTGGTGCTGTATTTGCATCTTCTATTTTTGATGCAACTATAAAGGGTAAATCTGGTATAGTCGTGCAATCTTATATCAATCTTAATGCTGATAAAGAAAACAGCAGCACTCATCTCAAGGATAAAATTGATGGTTTAGAATATTTTTCTTCGAATATTGAATTGGGTGTAAGTGAAATTTTTTTAAAAAATATATATATGTGTGTGTGTTTATGAGCATTTATAATTCTTTATTTATGATTTTTATAAACATTCTTTTTAGCCAAATGGTGTTTCAAAAATTCATCCAATTGGTAATATTTCTGAATATGAAAAGACTCTTCTCAATGTTGCAATCCCTGAATTAAAAGCAAATATCGATAAAGGTGTTTCATTCATACAACAACAACAATAATAAACAAGAGTTTATATTTATTTATTATAAATAATTTTGTAAAAAAATTTTTTTTTTTTGAAGGAATAAAAATCAAAGATTTTCTATTTAAATTAAAGTTATTAATAACAGAAATTCGTTGCTATCTTTGCCAAAAATTTTCTTATATAGTTATTAATAATGTTGTCATCGCATTGAAGCGTAGCAACACTGATCAAACTTACCTGCGGTCTCATACCCAATTTCAATTCGTCCCAATTCTAGATTCCACTTTTTCATCCAGCTCTAGTTCAGGAAGGACTCGACCATTACCTACCTATGCGTGGTCTAGCAGGGACGGATTTTTAAACTTCGTAATATTGTCAGAAATGGTAGATTTTGGGATTTCCAAGATTTCAACCATTTCTCTTATTGTATGTTTTCCGCCATTCCATAATCCATAAACAGCACCACGTTCAAAAATCTGCAAGTTCTCTTCTTTTTGACATTTCAATAAATTCAAAAACAAATAATTTTATAAATTTATCAATTTTCTAACGTTAACGAATTTTTATATTTTATCGGACAGGAAAGGTCACAGGAACTTGCATTTTTAAACTATTTTAAAAAATAATATTTTGAGAATTTTTGCTAAGACAACAAGTTTTTCATATTTGTGTATTTTTGTGTAAAACACATGAAAATGTCACGAAAATTTACATGATCTGCATTTTGTCTGGTCATTTTGGTATCTTCGAAATCTTTTGATAAAAAAATTAAATCAATATGGAAGATGTTGTTACTGTTAAAAAAAAACAAAAAAAGCAAAAGAAATCCAAAAAAAAAAATCCTATAGAACAACAACAACAACAACAACAACAACATAATATTCCTCCAAGATCATCAGCGGTAATGGGATCACGAACATCAGCCGAAATAATAAAACCACCACTTTCTTTTTCAGCAACCTCAAATAAAAAAAAAGGTTATTTTCAAGGAATGATTAATAAAAAACCTGTTCATATTAGATTCGAAGAAAATTTAGTTCTTTCTGATGACGATGATAAGGTTAGCAAAGAAGATAAATCAGTAAGCAAAGAAAAAAAAGATCAGGATGAAATTAGTCATAATAATAATGATAATTATGAAAAAGGCAGTAAAACAAAAGTTCAGGATGAGATTAGCGATAATAATAACAATTATGAAAATGACAATAAAACGAAAGATCAGAATGGAATTAGCGATAGTAATAAAAATAACACAATAACTAATAATAATAATAATAACAACAAGAATAAGAAGAATAAGAAGAACAAGAATAAGAGCGAGAATAATAACAATAATAATACATTAAAATTACCTTCATCTTCTTCTTTATCAAAAGCTGCATTAACGGCACGCTGGTTGGATGGTATTCCGACTGGACCGCCAATAGTAGATGATTTGCCGCCCTCACGTGTTATAATAACAAGAGTAGATTTAGATACCACCGCTAATTCACAGAATAAAAAGGGAGAAAAAAGGAAAAAGGTAGCAAAAGGAATTCAGCAGCATGATAATTATCAAATAAATCAAAATGAACATCAAGCAGAAATTGATGATGATGATTATGATGATGATGAATATTATTATAGAAATCAAGTCAAGAATGCAAAGCGAAGCCGAATTCATCAAGATGACAATAATAATGCATCATCATCATTATCAGCAAATAATAAGAATGATGATGACAACGGTGAGGAAGATGATGAGGAAATTCAGGAAGATGAACAACAATTGATCGTTGATTACGAAAAATTAGAAGTTTATGAAAGTAGACCTAATATTGGTGATAATATTGCTTATAAGGTACGATTTTTAATTCTAAATTATTATTATCATAATAACTATATGTTTGACATTAATATACTGTTGATAATATTATAGGTTATTGAATTATCCGATAATTATACACCTGGATTATCAAAATATAAGGTAATTAATATTTTAAATTTTTGTGGAATAAAGATTATGATTATCGATGAAAGTTAACTGTTTCACTTTTATATTTGTAACATATTAACAAATAGGAAGCAACAATAATTGGATACGAACCGATAACAAATCAAGTCACATTAACGTTTTCTTCCGCAAACCCAAATCAAGAATTAAAAAAAGATTTTAATTTTATAAATAACAATGAATTTGGAAAATTTAGTCTTTATGATTTGGGTGATGAATATATTCTTGATAGTCAAATTGAACCACCAAAAATATTTACAATAAAATGGGAAGAATTACATGATGTTCGCAAAATAATTAAATAAGGCTGTAATTAAAATAATAAATAAAGATTCTTTTTTTATTATTGTATCATTGAAGAAACATTTTTATATGAAAAAAAAAAAATATTATATTAAACCATTAATAACAACTAATAATTAATAATAAAAATTAATACATTTATTCTAACATTAAACGGGTATAAATTATAATTATTATGAATAAAAAAATTTATTCTAAGAATTTTTTCCTTGATTGGAATCTAACCAAGGATTATCTTGACCTTCGCCAATTTCTTCATAATCAGCTGATGCACCAAATGGCATTGGTGAATATTTATCGGTATTAAAATCAAAGGATGTATCAATATATGGTGAATAATAGCTTGATGATTCTCGGTTACTAGTAGTAAATTGATTATTTTCTACTTCAATTGTGTTTAAATCATCATTACTTGTGCTAGTCCGTCTGTCATTAATTGATGACGCTGCATTTGAATGTCTTCTATTCAATAAATTAATTTGTTTAATTCCCGTTATTAAACCGTCATCATTATCATCATCATCACTACTATCGTTAATTTGATTATTAACGATGGTAGAAGGTATGTTGCTTTGACGTCGATGCCAAACATTTGTAAGATTTTCAGTGTAGGTTGTTGGACTAATGATTTTTATATGGTTAAATTGTTGCTGTTGTAGTTGATTCAGTTCTTCCGATTCATCATCATCTTCAACGCCAACGAGATCCTCATCACCTGTTACCATTGGATTTGGAACCGGCGAATCTTCTTCTATTTTGGAAGAAGTGTTGATTGGTGGTAATGGTAACGGTGGTGAGGGTAAAGTCAAATTAGGTTCAGGTAAATCATCAAAAAAATCATCTTCTAATTCACCAGCAACAAATTCATCAATGACATTTGTGTCTGATGATAATGTTGCTGTTGTTGATATTGTTGATATTGTTGTTGTTGCTGTGGTTTTCTTGGTGTTTTTTTTCGGCAAGTCTACTAATTGTGATAATTTTTGTGATGATTTTTCTATAATTACTGGGGTATTATTTGATTTTTTTTTTTTGCCAGATTCTTTTTTTTTGTTTTTATGAGTTTTTTCCTTTTTTCCAATTTTATTATCCCACAAATTGTTTATTTGATCTTTTTCTAATTGGTCAAACTTGATTTCTGCTATATGAATAGATATAAAAATAAACATAAATATATTTATTGTTTAATATCATTGGGAGGGGGCAATAATGATTAAAAACAATAACAAACTTTCTAAATCATCTATTTGAATATTTTCACTATAATTTTGAGTTGGAGAAGGTGGTGAAAATTGTTCAACATCATCCAATGATTCAAGAAGTTTTGCTAATTCTTTAGTTTTTAATTGTAATTGCTGTTGAAGAATATCTCTCTAAAACAAATTCAATTATTTATATTATGATATGTAAATATAAATTAATGTATATATTAAAATTATATTATATAATCTACCTGCAATTGTAAAAAAGGAACACCAAAATATTTATATATGTATTCTAAACCTAATCCTGTAAGCATACTAGTTTCAACATAACGAATCATATTTGCTGATGGATAATTCTTTACACGGTATCTGTTAATGTCTGCTAATGATTGATATATTCGAGAATGTGTGATCACTCGTTGTTCACTTTTAGGTTTTTTTTTGTGTTGAGAATATTAATTGACATAAGTATAATATACTGATTGTGAGATGTAAAAAACGTTAGAAATATATCTACCTCAAATCACTGAAATTACCCTAAATAATAACAACAAAAAGATATTACATACATACATACATACATGCATACATACATACACACATATAGTTATAAACAAATACTTACTAAGAGTAAAACTGTCATGGAATCAGGGATTGATTCCAACTTTTTAATTGCATAATCAAAAGTCCAACTTTTTGTAATGTCAAACATTAGAATTATACCATGTGTATTTCTATAAACATCAATGGTTGCTGCATCCAGTGTTAATTGTTCTGGTGGTAAATTTACTCGAGAATTTGATGATGATAAAGCTGATACTAAAAGTATGAATTAATTTGTTTTGTGTGATGATATATATATATATATGTATATAATAACTTTTTAAAAATTTGCTTTTCCTCTTCTCTCCTACCTTTATTTACCTTGATTATTGTCGATTTTCAGACTAGTATCTGAAGTTATTGACCTTTCTACTGTTGAATTTATTCCTTTATCTACAACATCCCATATTTCTACTTTGATCACATCATTTGTATGAATATAATCCCATTGTATATTTGCTACTTGTATTTGTGGTGTAGATAAATACTCTTTGGAAAATACTTCTCCTTGCAATCTATTGACTTTTATTGGTAGATGTAATGATCATTATATACTCTCATATATATATGTATGTATGTATGTATGTATGTATAAGTAATTTAGAAGGAATGGTATAACTTACATAATGTTGTTTTTCCAGTTCGAATATCACCGCGTATTATTATCTTCACTGATATCATCATTTAATAAATAAAAATTTAAAACTTAAATAATAAAAAATTTTGAGGATCTTTGATACATACTATTATATTGAACACCTTTTTTAAATATTCCTTGCATCGGTTTGAGATTTCCATTTTGTGAAGTGTCAAAATTTGCCGCCACTTTAGTTTGTTCGTTACCCTATGTAAAGGATAATTACTATTATATAAATATAAATAATTGAAAGTCATAAATAGTAATAAAAAATCATTTAACTGACCATTTTGTTTTATTACTATTATTAATTCTATATACAAAAAAATCGGAGCATAATGGACATTCGAAATGAAGATCCTTTTTATGTTGTGTAACACACAAACAACTTTAATTGGGTTGTAAATTTCAAAATCTTATTGGCCAATTGTGACGATCAATGATATAAATAGACTAACTCACAAACAGAATCACGTGGCGTTGTATGTCTTTACCTTTTATGGTAGAAACTCCAACCTCTTCTCAACTTTACAATCCGAGATCCCACCAAAGATTAAATAATAATAACAGCCAGGCGACTTATCACACCAGTTGATTATCATATATGCGGGCTACACCGAAGATAAAAACAACAAACAAAATCCAAGTCCAAGTAAGTACTGAAACTGTAATATTTTCTAGTCATTAGTTGTTTTTCATTTTTAAATTAGAATCAAATTTATAAGTGCAATCTGTGCCAACATGATTATTAGTATAAAAACGTTAATGGTTTACGAAGACAAAGCTCAAATATAATAATCTGTAAGTATATCATCATCAGAAGTTCCAGAATTTCTGGTTAGGCGAATTAAACAAAAAATTATATCCAGTTTTTGGAATTGTTACAAAAATAATAGAAGTATCATGAATAAAGCTCCGAAAAATTTCGGTTTATATCTTTAGGCTAGAGACTACTTGACAGTAATATTGTTTGACGAAATGTTACCAAAGTGGTAAAACTATTACGTCAAATTCGTTGCCATTAAGCAAGTAAAATTATAAAAAAAAACTTATAAATGTCTTTTTTTTAATATTTTTCTTGTGCATTTTTCATCAGTTTCTCCCAAGGAGCTACTAAATTTGGGCTTATATTAATAACGTGATACATGATCAGGGTAGATAAAATCATTGATTAGTACTTTATGTTCAAGGGTCAACTAATTTTAGTATATTAATATGATTATTAACAAATGAAAATTTTACGCAAAAGCTATGGAAATTTTTATAATATATTGATTGATTAAGCTACTTTGCAATAATAAACACATCTTTATCTTTATCCTTATTGTAGTGATCAACGAAAGGATAATTAACATTCTAATAAAATAAAATTCTATGATAGAATCATTATTTTTGTTAAACGTTAATAGGCTTTTAAAAATAAAATAAAAATAAATCGTTATTTTTATTTTCTTTGATTGATAAAAGCAAAAAGTGTAGTTAGTGTCTTGGTAAAAGGCAACAATTGTGGAGCTTTGATAAAAAGCTATGTTAGTGAGCATGTAAGCAAAGTTAGGACTAATGTTGGTTAACTAGTGAGTGTTAACAACGATTAGTAACGTAATTTGCTTTTAATGAGTAAGCAAAGGTTTGGATTGACGTTGGTTAACTAGTGGGTATTGATAAAGTATCGTCCAAAGGTTAATCGGAAATACTGATATTATTATTGTAGTCGTAAACGTAAGGCTGTTAAACAAGCTGCTTAAGTTGTTTTGCAAATAAACCAAAATGAGTTTGCAATTGGTCAGCAAGCAACTGAAACAAATCGAATAAAAGGAACTTTATAGCATTGCAAAAGGGCCATATTTCAGTTATCTGATTATTATTGTGAGCTATTAACTGACCAAAAGTTAAGTCATAATTGTTAATTAACCGAAATGATACCTTGCAATATCATCATTTAACAAGAATCAAAAATTGTAAAAAGTTTATTATTGTTATATATATAAAATAAGGATGAAATAAAAAGATAAATAAAAAGAAGATAATAAATTTATAGTGGAGATTAAATTAGACACTCATCGCATCTTTTCTTTTACTATTGTTACTAGAATTTAATGTTTATTAATTAATTAATTAATATCGTTAGTAATAATCAATGGATAGTAATTTCCAATTAATTAATAATGAAATTTTTATTCACCTTTGTTAACATTTTAGAGAAAAGAGTTAAAATCAAGATTATTCAACGAACTGTCATTACTTGTATAACTTTTAAAGCTCTTAGATTTAGCAATTTCTTCATCCGATATTCTACTTGTATGATATGCATCTGAATGTGATTTGTGTGCTTGTTGTGAAGCACTACTACCACCACTACTAGTAGTATTATTACTATTATTATCACTATTATTATCAAAAACTTCATTACGTTTATTTCTAGCAAATTTCCGAAGCTCTCTACTAGTTGGTCTTTTTGATGGATCTGCATCCCAACACCTCTGCATCATTTGCACATAATCATCAGGCA